AAAGGTTTCTTTCTGTATTTTAATAAAAGGAACTTTGGAGGGGAGAAAAATCATGATCTTTTTTTACCTCATCATGTTTGTCTTTTAATTGAATTCATTTTTTAAAAAAATAATTTATTAATGTCAACATGCTTTAAATGATTAATATCCTATTATGTCTAACGGTAATGTATGATGGCTGGGCTAGGATCTGTCACTCAACAAAATTGCTTAGATTTATTATTTTGTACTGACATTTCTTATTCATCTAAAGTGATTTGACTGAAGTTGAGCTCACGAAAGAAAGACAGAAGTCCAGATTAAGTTGTATTTTTGTCTGTATTTTCTATTTTGTACTACTTTGTGCAGCTTTCTTAGAAGCCTTTGGGAATGTGTTTTTTAAGATGACTTCTGTATTATTCTGATTTAATTGCACAGTGATTTATCAGATAATACAGATCTTGGGACTTAAATGTGGGCAAATATTTGCTCTGTGGTTTGAATTTTATTAATTCATATACAATATTTTGTCATTTTAATATCTACTTTCCAATAAATATCATCTAATGAATGAATTTGGACTGCATAGTACATATTGCTCAACTTGATCAGGGAACTCTTAGGAGGGGTCCTATGACAGACCTGGAGGATAAAGCTGCTTCTTGGAAGAGTGCTGAGATATTTTCAGACAGCCTTCCTGCAGCACAAGAGTAGTCCATTCCCCTAAGTGGGAAAAGGAACAGGCATAAAAATAACCAGTCCCATTTAAATGTGCTACTGAGAGAGCTCAAGTGCAAAAATAAGCATGTGAGGGCTGGAGCAATTCCCAAAAAGTAATGCAGAGATACTTCTTAGACATGCAGAGATGCAGTTAGGAATGCAAAGGCAAGCCTGGAGCTCGAAGTGGCAGGAGATGTCAAGAATAATAAGAAAGGCTTTTGTAAGTTAGTGGCAAGCAAAAGTCCAAGGATGAAGCATGAGGTCATCTACCTTTATTTTAGCAAGGTATTTGTTACAGTCAGCCATAACATTTTTTGTTGAAAAGCTAGTAAGGTACGGGCCAGACAGATGAACCACAAGGCAGGACAAAAGCTGGCTAAACAGCTCAAATGGTGGTGGTTAATGGCTCAAAGTCAGACTAGTTGTCAGGTGGAATTCCTGAGGAGTTGGCAGTATGGCCTGTGGCCGATACTGTTAAATTTCTTCATGAATAACCTAGATGATGTAATTGAATGCACCCTCAACAAACTTGAAGTTGACACCAAACTGAGTAGAGAGGTAGGTACACCAGAAGAGCCACCATGCAGAGAGACGGTGACAGGCTGGAACTGCATGAGATTTAACAAAGATGTGTGTGAAATTGTCTATCTGGAATGGAGTAATCCCAAGCACCAGTACAGGCTGGGGTCTGGCTATGTGATCCACCTTGAATGCACTGTACTCAATACTTTTTAGGCCACACCTGTACTCTACTATGTCCAGATTTGGTTCCTGTAGTTCAAGATAGAGATTAAAACCAGGCAAGAGTCCAATGGAGGGCCACCATGATGTTTAAAGATTGCAGAATGTAAATGTTGTAGCGAAAAAAGGCTCAGGTGGGATCTAAACTAATTCTTCTGATATGTAGAAGGTGGTACAGGGGAAGTAGAGGTATGCTTTTCACAAGGATGCATGGTGACAGGGTAGGGCACTGGTTGCTTTGGAGGAAATTCCATTCACATACAAAAAGAAAACTAATCACTGTGAGAACACTTGGACATTGGAATATGTCGCTCAAGAGAAGTGGTAGAAACTCCCTCACGAGAAATATTCAAGCTGTGTCTTGACAGGCTCCTGCAGTAACCTAATCTAAGACCTTGTGTTCAATGGAAGGTTGGACCAAATGATCTCCAAGGTCCCTTCCAACTTAGACTTTTCTGTTTCACGTGGGTGAATCAGACTCTTGATTTTCAAAATCGTATGCACATAATTAGGAGAACAGAAAAAATAAATAGGGCTCCATCACTAACAGAAACCAAAAAATACTTGGTTTTGATGTGAGATCAAGCACTGCTTGAGTAATGCTGGCAACAGAAAAATCTGGAACCTTGTTTCTCGGAGCTTCCACGGAAGTCTCTAAAATAAGTAAAAAGGTATCTCCAGCTATTGAGACTTCTGGTTTTACTTCACTGTAAAATAAAGGAATCTTCCTTAAAAGCATAAGGTGTTAGGCAAGGGACAATGTAAAATAATTTTATTTAAATTAGAATGTCATTTACAGGATTTGCAACTTTATAAATGAAATTGGGCACTATTTAAATACATAGTAAGAATCAGTCTTTATTCCAAGAATTGACATCCTAAATACAGAATTTGAAATGAAACATAGAAGTACTATAGAATAAAGTCAGTTTTGGTGTTTACACAGCATTTCATCACCTGTATCATGTGTATTCATATTTTCTCAACCCAGTGACCAATTTATACTTGTTTAATCCAAGTTCTCAGTAGTGCATCAAGTACAATGGTCATGCTAAACCACAATTATTTCATTGTGAACAATATAAAAAATTTGGTCTCATTCTCCACTGTTGAAAATGTGCATCCTGCTGGTAGGACCTAGTCTTTTTTGGGTTGCTCACCAGGAGGATTGGTGTGTTTGCTGGGCTGTTTAGCAAGTCTGGGAGTTTCACTGTTATTGCAGTACCCCATTAAGTTAATTTACAAAACTTAGGATATACTTTTTTTTTTTCTTAAGGGTTACTTTTTATCTGCTTTTGCTTTACAAGAAGCATGTCCTTGCAAATTATATGGATTTTAAGAATGCCTAAGTTCTGAAGCCTGCCCTTCAGTTTATTTGGCAGATTGGATACATACTTTATTTCTTCTATGGACCAGGATGACCTTCTGCATGTGCCTTATTATGGACAAATCTCTTTTGTAACATCCACAAGGAAGACAAAGTGAAATGTCAGCTTTGCCTGGATAAACTGTTTGCCTGGTTTTGATAGAAACATGCCAAAGTTGTAACATCAGACAACAGTGAAACGAGCCAACTTTAAGGGAACAGTGTTCTCACTGTTGTCTTTATTCAAATTCACAGTGTATTGTAGTCCAATTTCTCACAGTATGAAAAAGGGTTTTAATGTTTACCTCCTACAGCTTCTCCACTTCTTTTCCCTTAAAAAAGAAACTGCTTTCTCTTTATATGAGCAGTTACGTTCTGGTATGAGGGTTGGAATTTTTTCTGCCTCAGTTTCAGAGTAGTTATAGAATTAGTTTTGGAGATATGTTCCTATTTTTAGGGGAGAAATCAGTACAACGGCTGTAAGGGTAGCTTTTACAAGTTACTACCTAGCATGATTTTTACATGAGACTCACAAGATGACTAGTAAGCTTTAATAGTTAATATTTGTCTAGCAAATTTCTGTTAAATCAGATTGGAAATGAGCATGTTAGTCTCTAATATTGAAATCCCTCACTATTTGTCAGTTCTAATTTTGGGCAAGATGGCTTTTGCCAGAAGTATGTTTAGAACTAGCAAGTTTAAATACACTTGAAAGTAGAGAGGACTCTCAAGGGTTTTTGCAAAGTGCTGTTGTATAATGCAGGATGCGTATATTCACAGTTTTCATAAAAGTGTATGCAATTTTCTAGTAATAACACTTCTTTAAAAGAGAATTTGTTTTGAAAGAAAAGCATTTGATTATGTCCAAAATGCCATTGCTGATTTTTTTCCTAATGCTTCATTTGTAAAGGAGCATGTGTAAACTATGCTTGGGTAGGAACAATTAAGTGGAGATTTTTAGTCAAAACATTTATCATTTTAAATGATGAATAGAACTTCTCAACTGTAGAAATATAGCTTGCTTTTATTTACACAACCCTAACTCCTAAAGAAATTGAAATGTCCAGTTTACCCCTTAGAAAAGAAAAGGAAGGAGAAGATGGCAGAACGGGAGAAGGGTGGGAAACAACTAAACCATAAATATTTCTGAAAAGATTTGTTAGCCACTATCATGCAACAACTTAGTTAAGATTCCTGGGAGGGATGAGTTCCATGTTTAAGAAGTTACACCAGAGGCTCAATTGCCTGAAACTTGTTGTCAGCCCTTTAAAGGAGAAGTTGGGCAATGATGCAGCAAGCACTGTGAACATCAGGGAAGTCTTGAATAAAGCCAGTGTTACCTGGGGGAAGACAGTGCTCAGGACTACCTGTTCGCTCTGGCTGAAGTCTGCATGAAGATCGTTCAATATGGTTCTGATATCATTCAGAATTTGGGGTGAACATTGCATGCATCTACTTTTCAGTACACCAAATGTATAACCTTGTCTCTTTATTGTATTTACTTCTGTACCAGCAGGTATGTAAATAAATCATAGGAGAGAATAGTAAATATCGGGTGTTTGGACAGAATAACACCAGCTGAGCTTCTCCAAATATATTCTATATGTCCTTTCACTCCAGTAGGTCAAAGGTATATTACTTCTTCTGTAGTACTTTTGCTAAGTTTAAGGATCTGGGGAAACTTACATCGTATACTATAAATCGACTGCGTATAAGAGCAAATGCGACTTTTTTCCTGTTACTCCTTGGACATACATTTGTCTGCATACTCGTACAAAGGGAAGAAAGAAATACTAGCAATATGGCTAGCAGTGTGCTCCGATAGCCCAGTTAACCTGTATATCTTCTGTTAAACCTAGTTATCTATAGAGCAAAAGAGGTTGGTGCTGGTGGTATGACCGTTGGTGTGAAGTGTGCTTTCCAGCACACTGAAATGCTCCACTACCACTACGTTCTTTCCCAAATACTTTTTTTTTTGCCTTCCACTCCAGCTGCAAAGTTACTGCTGCTTAGTTACCTCTCCTTTGCTCTTTGAAATGGTAAGAAGGGCCAGGCACCATGTCTGCCACTGCTTACAGAGGCTGGAACTTGAGAAGCACTGGCCTCTATAAGTGTCTGCTTGGGGTGGTGTGGGATTTGGTGCTAAAATTGTACACATTTGAGGCTAAAAAGCTTCATCTCCATCCTTGCTTGTAGCAGGATGAGGAGGGTGTACAGTGTAAAAGTGGAACTCCTGCGTATGTTGTGGAAATTACGACAGAGTTCACTGGTGTTTCTGCACAAGCACGGTTAATTACTTTAGTGATTCTAACATGATTTTTAATTTAAGTGTAACTGAGAAAGCACTGGTTATCATTGGCAGTTGGTATGACACATGAACACCCAGATGTATATTCCAAAACTTTGTCAGATACGTCTTAATAACATTATTTTTTTCCATCTGTTTAAAGTACTATTTTCACATTACAGCCTTTGTTAGCTCTTTGAAAGCTCTTAATATTCATATGTTGAATAATTCCTGAGAAAATCTGTTCAACACTTGAACCTTAACTGGAACATTTAGTACTTTCTCGAAATCTCTCTTTGCAAATCATTTGTTTCTTTGTATGCAAAGGGCAGTAGAAAGGCTTATAAAAATCTTCTAGTAGCATTTGTGCTCTTATGCTGAGAACACTATTTCCCCCTACACACATACTCTTTCTGTGCAGGAGGGAACTCTGGTGACATCTGTTTAGCTGAGCGAGTATGCGCAGAACTCTATGCCAGCCAAGTCAGCTGAGGGAGCCTGTGCAAAGCAGCTGAGGGTGCAGACCTTTGAACAGAGAGAGAGTGTCTGTGTGCAGCCTGGAGAGTAGCCACCCAAGAGGAGAAAAACAGAACTGCCCAACAGCAAGGACGAAAACGATTTAACAATTAAAACAAGTCTCCTTTGGGGAAATAATGTTACATTTGACATCCCCTCCTGCAGAAATTCAGATGCTGAGTACTTTTTTTTTTTTTTAGAACTATTTGGGAGCTGGGAATATGAAACTATAACAGTGTAAAGTGATTTTTGTTGTGTGATGTTTTAATCTAGAAACTGACTTGTTTAAAAACTATTCAAGCATGCAAGTATTTTTAATTGGGAGTGAAATGCTGTGTCCACATCCTCTGCAGTTCTTAAAAGAACATTTCACCTTGTGCTTTGTTTTTTCTCCTTAAAACTCCGAGTCCTGCTTTGCTATAAAAGGTTTGAGTTGCTTGCTTTGGCATTAGTGATAGGTAGAATTGTGTGAACATTTTGGACAGTGTTGCTCCTTACAGTATCTACAGTAAAGTATCTAAAGGCTCTGTCGTACCCAACATCGAGGTGGGACAAAACAGATGACTGAGTGTGCTCAGGGTAGCTCAGAGGATGGTTTTCACCATCCCAGTTCATTCATTCAGGTATTCTATTGAGATCTAACAGGAGCTGCCAGATACTGCTTCACAGACCTCTTATGCCAGTATCTTTTCTCTTGTGAGTAATTTTCTTTATAGTTTTGATTGCGTACAACGAAATACTCCACTTTTACTCTTTAATATCCCCCGTACTGTAGGATTTGTACTTATTCAGTGGTAACTTTCTAAACGATAAGCATCTTATTCTATGGATATTGACACAGTCAACAATTCTGTTGTCACTGATGTTTTTTGAAAGGATTGTCGGTGAAACTAATTTTTTTAGGTGTATTTATGCCATCTCTGTTCCTGGATATTCTGCTTTGTGAAGCAGGCTGGTGAACTGAAGCACAGAGAAGTTCTCTGAAGATGACCCCACATCCAGTTGCTGTGTGGATCCTTCCAGCAAGAAATGGATGTCACTGCTGGATTTTATTATATTGTCGAGTAGACGAGTGATAGGAATCAGAATTGCTACAGAAATAGGCAGCTGTGTCTAAGGCCAAAATACACACCTTTATTGCTGGGATCCTGAGCATTATCATTATAATAGATGTGGAAATACAAGGTTTCTTCAGCATAAGGCAAACTGCAGTTAAGAGCGGCAGGCAAAGTTACAGCCGCTGCCTTATTAAGACACAGAATGTATTTTAAAAACAATTTAAAATGTAATTGGACTGCTATATCATAAAACTATGTAGTCTTTGGTAAGTAGCCTTTGTCCAGTTTTTAAATGGTTTTGATTATTTATGAATTAAGAAATTTTTTGGTCTTTTGCTACAATAATGACGACGTTATTACAATTTAACATTAGTAGGTGTTATAATTATTGCTATTATAACTTAGTACAATTTAACTTCAGTAAGTGTTATAAGACAGTTGTACTTTCCAAGATAAGTTTTGAAAGCTGGCATTCAAAAAATTTCTATAAAAGTTCAGGTATTTCAAGTAGAGAAACAAAATCCTAATAATTATGTATACAGCCTAATTAGGACTGCTGCTCAAGGAATGGAGGAGGAAGCATTGTGTCATGTCATTGCAGTGGGGTATAGTTGAAGCTTCTTTTCGCAATGATACTTTTAGAAAAGAATTATTTGAGGGTTGTAGAATAGCCTTCAGGCATAAAAGAATTCAAATTCTCTTTTATAGTATACATAACTATGATTTTCTTTTACTGCTGTATCTTGTACCTCTGTGAATATATTCAATTACTCTAGAAAATCTTTTTTTTTTTTTTTTTAAACTACTCCTTGGAGGAATTAAGATTAGAAACATAATACGTTTGGTAATAGGTATATACTCTCTCTTGCCCGAATGCATATTATAAATACTTTTGGATAATAATTACTAGAGCTATTTTGCTGTTTTTCTTTGATTGCTAATAATCTTCTTCCTCCCCATCTCCATTCTTAGGACCCTCCGGGATTAGTACGGAAAGGTTCTCTGCCGCTCAGTGACACTGCTTCTGTGAACTCTATGCGGAGGATGAAGCGCAAAGCACCCTCACCACCCTCTAGAGCACCAGAAGATCAAAGTGGAAACAGTAATGAGACTGGTAATCTTTTTATGCTGTTTAATTGGGAGGCAACAGAAAGTATGGCAATTTGGCTAAACTTTAAAGAAATACCACCTTATGAGATAAGAACTTCAAGAAAAATAACGAGTGCCAAACATCTTCAGATTGTACGGAGCAGGAATACTACTTTATGAGATTGGCTCATGTTGTGTGAGAAAGTAGGCAGGTTTTAGGGCACTCAGATCAGAAAAAAAAGCAGAAAATACCAAATTAATTACAGTTAGGTTAACTATAGCAATTATGTTTGTGTTAATCAGATGGACAGCTTGGGGTGGGGAGAAAAGATTAGCTTCTCTGGATCAGAGAGAGTTTAATAGGAAGTGGACTGAGAAGAATTTTAGTGAAAGTTTTGTATTGTTCTTTTGTAATTCTTCTGTTTGAACAAAAATTCAGTTCTCTTTGGTTCAAAAATACCTAAGACTTGAGATTAAAACATCTGAGAAATGTGACAATGAGCACTGGTGACTTAAGAGAAGGTGTATTTCTTGAAGAATTTGCCAGTCTGTAAGATCATAATTTAACATTTTGTATAGAACTCTTGTTGTGCAGAAATTGAGAGGCAATAAAAAAGCTTGTTTCTTGACTTTTTGCAGTAACAGAGTCAACTGAATCAGCCCTTACTAATGTGGAAGAAAAAGCCATTGAAATGCAGTCTGAAACAGGTTGGTTCTTTTTCCAAATGCATTGATAAAATCTACTTCATAGGAAGCAATTCATAGTAATAAATTATTATACTACAGATGTGTCCTAAGTATAGAACTAATTTTAATGCTTCAGATCAATTAACTTTTCCTTTGAAGTATGAATATGGCTTTCAAACATAAAGATATTTTACCTTTACTGTCTACAGAAATATATATGCTATATTTTGTACTGGTATCTGTGCTTTACATTTAATAAAGTAAACATTATCCCTCTTTTCCTTCCTCCCTCACAAGCTGTAGACAAGAATGAGCCAGAACTTTGATTTTTGTATACCTCATAGCCAGCCTTTCTAAAGCTAAAGCCCAGTCTTGTTTTCAGAATCCCACCTTGTGCTGCCCTTGACCTACATAACTTAGGGGTAGGAGCAAATCTGTGCCTGTCTTTTGGGTTGCATCTCAACAGCCTTTGAAAACATAAGTTGTAAATATAAACTGTATGCATAAATAGTTGTTTATACATTAAATTAAATCATTTGTTGGGTGCTATGGAAAAATGTGATACGTAGAAGTATGGCTGTTTAAAATACAATTCTGTAGCTGCTGAACATAATACTTTAATTTATGCAGTTTGTACTACTAAGTACTGTTGTTTGTAAGCATCAGGCTGTAGGGTTCAGATACAAGACAAAACATCTAGGAGTCTTCTAAAATTTGTAAAAACTTTCAGAATAATCAATTGAGTCTGGAAAAACCACTCTTCAATGACTGTAGATCCAAATTAGAATTTCTGCATTTCCTGTCACTGTAATGTCCCAGTCCTGCGTAGATCAACAGCCCTGAACTTGACAGAAATGGCTTGTTTGCTTTTCCATAGATTTAGGAACCTCTGTTTGAGGCATTTGAATTTTGTAATTAAATATTTTAATTTAAGCTGTAATGGAAAGAAACAGAAAAATGTAATCATCTTCACTGGGCTTAGAGCAGTCTGTGTTGAGCCTCAGGATTTACCTCTGCATTAGTGACAGTCTTTGCTCTGTAGTTCTGCTGCTGATGTCTTCGTGCAATGTCCTTTGCCGAAGACTTAATGCGATTCATTGTTTTTAAATCTAGAGATAAATCAAACGGTACAGCTTCACTGCCTTCTTTTTCTTTTTCTCATGGGATTCTGCTGCTCTTTGGTGAAATCTGTGAAACTGTCCCGAGTCCTATGTAGCAAAGTCCTTTTAGCAAATAAAGAACCAGTATTCACTTGCAGCAAAATCAATTGCCATACACTTGTCCTATTCCTAGTTGGAAAATTATGTACGTTTGGGTATTTTTTTTTTAAATGGACAAAATAGTTCTCTTTAATTGCTACATTGGACATAATTTTAACTTTACATACAGTCAGTACTTCCTTCCATTTGGATTAATGCTGCTTTGATTGCCAGGCTTCTGGAAGCATTGTGAGTTTTTGCTCAGCTGTAACGGGCATTCCCAAAGTAGTTCTGTTACACATTGCTACAAGCTGCAAATACAGCGTTACCTTCTGCCCTATAATGAACCATTGCAAATGTTCAATTTGGTATCTAAGTAGTGCGTAGCTAATAGACATGTGTACATTAAGTGGAACGATGCTATATAATTTGGAATAGGCAACATTTCTGTTGTGAAATGGCAGTTTTCCCACGGTGTAAAAACAGACTGTACCTTGACAAAAGTAGTTTGAAGGCATACATCTACTAGAATAAACATTGACAGAGAATTAATTTGAACATTTGGGATTATAAACAACAATTTTTTTTCTCAATTATGATTTTTGTTCCGCTTCCCAAAATTTAATTAATGCTCAGTCTTTTTGCTAGGGAAGAGGGTGAAATGGTGTTTAAAAAAAATAATTAAAAAATTACAGATTTTCAAATCATTTCCTATCAAGCAAATCCCGTGATACAATCTTGTTGGTTACAGTATCTCTTAAGAAACTTGTTAAGGACTACAGAGTCAAGAGCAAAAACGCTGGCAGATTTGCATGATATAGTCAGGCTTTCTGGCTTTGGTCCTTACAAGCATAACGGCTCAGAGCAGTGTCAGCCTATTCTCTGTTGTGCAAAGAGTATTCTTACTGACTCAAAGGAAACTTGCAGTTGGTATGTCAGTCCTCTTACCAGGTATGTCTTCACAATGTCATCCTGTAGGCTTCAACAATGTTCTTCTAGGGCTAATTAAAACTCAATGACTAATGTTCATAGAGAATAAATTATGCACAGACAAAAATGCAATTTATATTATATGTGGACTTACATATAGAGTATATAAGCAATAAGGCAACAGTATGTAGCCAGTGTTCCAATAAGTATTTCCTAGGGATATGTTGCATATAAAAATTCTAAACGGAGGGTTTGGAAACAAGTCATAAAATCTGAACTGCTGCTCTGGGGAGTTAACTGCATGATGTAAGTGAAAGATAGCTCTTAAATGTTGTTTATGTCTCAAGTGCATTCAGACTTTATTCTGCTGCAGCAGTGGTGGCCCAGGTCTGGAATGAGATCCAGTAACAGATGAAAAACCTTAAGTTGAAATTAGCTTCAAGCAAGGCTGATATTATGCTGACAGATGAAGTGGAGCACTTTGGAAAAAGTGTGAGGGTTTTTTTTTGTTTGGTATTCTACATTTGTAGGTCAGGTTAGTCCACTCCAAAGCTTGGAAGTATTCCTAGCACAGCAAAGGACAGACTTTCACGTAGCTGGAATGTCAAAAAAAAAGCAGGAATGTCAGCAATGTCTCTTACCAACCCAAGCTAAGTTTCCATCCCATCAGTATAGATACAACTCAGCCTTTGTTATACTTCTCTCCAGAGGAAAGGCAACGGAGATGACAGCAGTGCCTGGGCACAAAGCCATAGCAACTCCAGAATGCTTCCATTTGTCTTGTCAGAAGTCCTGGCTGTGCTTTGTTGTATAATTCAGGTTTCCACAGAGTATTTAGACTGAAGGTCTTAGTCTTTGTTCCTGTGGCTGGTGATGGCTCAGGCACATGGCGTAATAGTTCTCAACAGTGAAGGAGATAGTGTTCTTGGGAGCTGGTTGTGGGCTGTGGAATAGTCTCAGCCGGTTTGATGTTTGCCCACATTCTGTTACGCTTTGTTTGTGCCTTGTGATGTATATATTTATCTTTGCACACATAAAATCGTAGTAATCACTAAAATCATCTTGCGAAGTATGATGCTGCTGGCATGACTTTTCCTAGATGGAGATGAAAGGGTTTGGTGGGGGGGAAAGGAAGAGGAGGCCCTTAGTCATAGTAAGTTCTTAAGGAGTCCCTTTAATACCAGTGCGGCACATTGGTATGTACCTGTGCTTAAATCACATGGAAGGAGCTGTCCTGCACCACTTCGCAGTCTTTCCCTTCTTTCCCTGGGGATCTAAATCATCTCTGCATTCAGCATAGGACACATGCTAATCACATTACTTAATATATAGCTACAAAGCATTATTACATGAGTTCAATCAAAAAACCTGAAATTAAATAGTAAAATGTTTGGCATTTATAGTTGCTCTGTAACTGTGAATGAGTAGCTTTGGTATTACTGAACTCTTAACTAATGACCCTATTGGAAAAATGAACGTTTCTGTTCTGTACTGAGACTTTCTCCAATATATACAGCGCTCTATTATGTTTCTATAACAGTGTACCTCTAGAGAAGTACTGGAAGCATTATAGGATACCAGCCTGTACAAAACAAATGAATCTAAGATTTTTCTGGGTTCTGTTACTTTCCAGCATTGCTTGCTTTAAGCCAGTATTTTCTTTTTGTTGTTAGCCTCGGTTTACGCTTGGAAATTTACTGATACAAGTTAGAAAAGTCTGAAACGTAACTGCCCAAGCGCATGGCCTGTACCGAAGAGGTATTGGTGCATGCAAAGCTGACAGGTATGCCCTGTTCAGGTCAGGCAGAGAGCACTGCTGATACGGCTCAGTTGTGGCTGGTAGCCTTCCATGGCACCATATTGCACTATATAGATGGAATTTGCATTTTCTTTGTGTTATAGAATGCAAGTTGCGAAGCCAAGAGGTTAATTGTATGGTCTACTTACTAATATTTGAAAAATGTGAATCATCATCTTGTTGTAGGAAGATTCCTGGCAGGGATGTGAAGCTAGAGATGGTTAGTGCCTCTGGAAATCAGTATAGGTGGATTTATAAGTTTAACTTCAGGTACACTGAATTATGTGTGTCCTAATCCAGTAACTAAACCTTTTGCTTGAACTATGCTCTAGCTGAAAACTTCGTTATTTTTATAGATTAACACTTTCCTATGTACTTTATTTTTATGCACTTCTACTTCCACAGGGCACTGCACAAAACATTTCTAACTATGTTTTAATACACGTAGGATAATTATGGGAAAGCTTTTATAGTGGTGAGCAAATGTGTTCAAACCATGGGCAAAACGGAGATTTGGTTTACTCTAGTTCTCTACCATACCTATATGTGATATAGGTATGGTAAAGGGATATCTGATATAAAGGAACTGTGTATTTTGAACCTTACTGGAGAGCTAATGGAAGTGTTAAGAAATCTGGGTAAAATAAACTGCCTCCATGAAATTTTGGATTATGCTATTGTTAAATATATTTTGATCTATCCTAATCCAGCACTGGGGTTGAACAAGGAAAATGTTATACAGTAGTTACAGATGCAGAAACGGACAGTAGCATGGTGATGAGCGTATTTTTACATGTAAAAAGAGAGAATTGGAAAGAAGTAGAAAATACTGTGAAGATAAAACTCTGAATTTCAATTATTTTTTTTTCCCCCTCCTGAATGATAAAGAGAAGTCTCTTCAGTTTTCCTTCTTCAAACTACTTAGGCTGACTTCACAGACCCTTTGTATCTACACCCTGTATTGATTTGTGGGTTGTTTCATTTTGTGTGGTGTTTTTTTTTTTTTTTCTTTCTGTGAGTGTAGGTGTAAGGAGCTCAGAATACAACCTGGAAGAAATTGATGAAAGGGAAGAGATGAGTGTGCAACAGAGAGAGGACAGTGAAAGCACAAATACCTCTCTCAGGACAGGAGAGGTTACTGCAGCCTTGAGCTCTGCTGAGGTACCACTGGAAACTGAAAAAAATAATCCTGCTTCATCAGCTCCAGTTCCTGGCAGTGTTTCTGTAGAGAACTCACAAAGCTTCAAGGAAGAAAAACAAGAAAATATGAGCACAGATGGCAAGTAAGTACGTTTTGTGACAAAGAAAGGAGCATTGGGGAGGGAATGGGGGAGGCAAATAAAACGTAGAGTGCTGTTTCATTGTGGAACACAGAATAGAGAATTGTGAGAAAGGAATGAGCTTAATATGCTTAGCTTTCATTGTAGAACTCTTCTGTGCACAGTAATTCATGAAGCTTTTCAACAAAAATGACAAAGTGCTCTGCAGGCTATTCTGTTTCAGCCTCCCTTTCCTTACTACTCAAACAGCCGCACCCCAGAAAAGCTGAACCCGTCTCTAAAATACCCAGCATATTTACTAGAGCAGTGTGCCACCAAAAAAATGGAATTGATTAGTTAAATGAGAATTTACAAGTTCATTCTTACAGTTGGGGAAAACCAGGTAGATCGGCCATTTCTGTTCTTCTGGGCACAGTTATCTATTTCTTGCATATTTGTTTTGGTTTTAATTTTTCTTTTGTCTCTTCCTTATATGCTAGCCAGTTGTCTTGACCTGTCTCGATCCATCTGCTCTCAGGAAAACAAGTTAATTCTTCCTTTTTAAAGAATAAACACATTAGTTTTCTTAACTGCTCTTTTTCCCTTCTGGTGATGCTGTACCTTTGCCCTTCAGCATGTTTGTTAAACTACCTGACTCAGCAGGTTTCCAACATAAGTTAGTGCCCGCTTGAAATAAATGTTGATTGTCCAGAGAAGTCCCATTGTGTTAATGTAATTCACTATTTCTCTGTTCCCTGGGGCAACTAGACTGGCTACTGTTCCCAATTTAAATTGAAAGAACTATTTCAATTATTGTACTGAAGCCAAAATGCTCTAGTAGCCAAGAACTTTCAAGGTAGTATGGAGAGCTTTGACTTGTTTCTCAAGGGTCTTTTTTTGTCAGTCCAAGGCCAAATGGGGCTTTGCAAAAATCTTTGGTGCTCTGTCCTAACAAACATTGTGCCAGTTGCTTGGCTGTGTCTACTCTATGGCAATCTATGAGGTGAAGGATCAGCCAAATGTTATTTTTAAGTTGTCTTGAACTTGCAGGTTATCAGACCTGTGTTATTGGGCCAGTTTGGCCAATTGTCCTGGGGATGCTTCTTTTTTTCCCTGCTAACTTGTAATAGCCTTTCATGGGCTATAATCCTGGTGAGTATCATCTAGTATGCACTGCACTGTAACTTTAAAGTTTGGCAATCCTTTCTTTCCCGAAATATCACAGGGATTCCTGGATGAGCACTGGGGTATCTCTGACATTATGTTTCTGGAAACCTTTGGATAATGCAGATCTTTTATATAAGATCTAGTTACTTTGAAGAAGTGCTTTTTAATCAAACCAGGGATATGTGTCATATTCCAGTCAAACCCACTGATTTCTGTAATGATATTCTGTGGTGTTCTGTGGCTCTTGGGTTTTGTTTTTTTAAAACTATTCAGCCTGTTGTGAATACTTGTAGTTCAGTCAGCTGTGTTCAAGGGAATGGAGATAAGCAAGAGTACAGAGTGAGTGCAGGACTGAGCTTTAACTTTCTTCCAACAATAATTTTGAGAGCATATGCTCCTGTTTAGTCGTTTATTGGACACTTGCAGTATATTTTGGACTCTACAAGCAACTTGAGGGTGGATGGTTATTGAGGAACGTATAATTTTGAATGATTTAAAGCAGATGTTTCCACTCAAGGCACTGATTCCTGACAACTAATACATTTGATGTGGCAAATGAATTGGAATCTTCATAATGCCAGTATTCTTAACTACAGAAAATAAAAGTATCTTAAGCAGAGATGTTAAGTTTGAAGTTCTAATAATTATTTTAAAAGAAAAATTTTTAAGTATTTTGGCCTTTTTCATTTACCTCTTTAAGTCAAATACTTAATATGTGTCCCCCCCCAAATATGAGGGGGTTTTCCAGCATTTGTGGAGTTCTCTTGTTCAGTGTGATCTATGAACAGAAATTGTATGCATTTGCAAAATGTTTAGTATGCAAGTAACATGTTTGACGCCTATTTCTTTGTTGTTATCAAGGTATTTCTTGAAAGGGACAGGAAATTTTTCATTCCTGTTTTGAAAAGTCTGTACTGCACAGTTCATACGCAGTCAGTGTCTCAGGTAGCTTTCTGTCTATGGTGTTGGGGACAAAAATCAAGGACACGTTTTAAACGTTGGGGGTGTCAGAACACTTCACGCTAACAATACTGTCATGTGAATGATAAAACATCACCTTTGTGGTTGTACTGAATCTCAGTTGTTACTGGAAAGGGGCTTGTTCATACTGCACGAGTAAACAAAAGGAGGGGAAGAAAGGGAAGGAAAACTGATCATCTGCTTACACAGAAGAGAGTGAAGCTGCATGTCATTCTGGTAAAATATCATAGCAGCATTTCCTCTTGTTTTCAAAAAAATAAAATAATCTATTCTGTTGAGTACTCCAATGTTTGGCAGAGTGATTCTATTTTGTCCATCTGTGTTTGGAGAATATTGCCAGTTCTCTTGCATCGTTTTTTGTGTTTACTGAAATGAATGATACCAGCATATTTAATGTACTGTTGTGCTTTGCAGAGGACTACAGACTAAGATAAGCAGTGAGCAAGCTGCATTTGAAAAAGACAGGAAGCTTAGAATTTTGGATCAAAATAAAAATGATGGTGAGTAGTTCCCACTCATTTTTAATACTTCAAAACAAGGTTGAAGAGAACTTTTCTATTCCTTTGAAAAAAATGACAATACAGTCAACTCCTGAATTGCTATCATCAAATTATTTTCTTTATACTTTCTCTAGCTCTGGTGTATCCTCTTTGAGATGAGGTGACAAGAATCGACTGCAGTTTTTGGTTTTTTGTTTTTAATTTTTTTTATTACTTCCTATAGCAGTAGTCAAAGCTGTGTCACACTGTTGTAGGGCAGTACAGGTAGAAAGGCCATCGCTTGTTCTTTGCTTATGAAATTAGCATGAGTTTTCTGCATGAAAATGCAAATATTTTTAAACAAAAATAGCAGAGTGATACGCTGATTTGAAAAGAAATGACGACATCCTGTGCATCTAACAGATCATAAATTTTTCCATGGATTTAGTGACCTGGCTGATTTATTTTACCCTTTTATGACACTGATTTTCAGATTTATATATTAAGGCTTCCATAGTCTTTTATATTCAGTATACCTCTGTTTATAAATCATAACAACATACTGCATGAGTCCTGTTTATATGTGACGTAAGTTTTAACTGCCATTTTATAACATATTAGAAATGAGGAGAGACTTGTGGTCTTTTTTTTTTCTTCAAAATACCACCTCAAATCACTATTCCTAAAGAATTTCTTTTTCCCCAACATTGTATTTAAAACAATTTGACTGAAATATTCCTGTGTTTTGGAGAGATCTACATGTGTTTAGTCCAGGGGTAGAAAACTGAGTTATCAGACCTGCTAAACAGTTGGAAAAGTAGAGTTGGAGAATTGCTTTTGTCCGTATGTTTTCCAATTGTTCTCTTGTACAAATACATAAGGTATAGTTGACAAATAACATTTGTAAAGTTAAAACTAAAGAGCAGAAGCCACAAAAGTGTGGAACTAAATAAAAATTGCATCTAACTTGATATTGAATAGTCCTTGAGCTCATGAGTCACTGATGCCTACATAATCAACTGAAATTCATTAGCACTTTTTAAATGATTCTAGAATAGATTTTTCTATTAAGTTGATGCATGGCACCAGTAGCCTGTTAATTAAGTAAGAATACCTGAGTTAGAATACTATTATTTGGTAACATTAGTCAAATAGAAGTATATCTTTAAATAGCCTTTAAAAGTAAGTTTGAAGGAAAATTTTAATACCAGTGAGGACCCAGTTCTTGTAGTTAAACACACAGGATGTGGGGCTTCATGATGTAAGGGGTAAGGTTGAATCTTTTGGGCATTTGTATTAATTTTGGAATCTCTGTTTAACTTAAAGATCAGAGTGATACAAAACTCGTTCCAACAACAGAAGAAGGGAAAGAACTTCAGACAGCCGAAATTATAACAGTAGATTTTAGAGAAAATAACAAACTTGAAGTTGACAGACTATCAAACTGCCAGGCATGTAAAAATGACATCTCTGTAAGTCATAGGAATTATCCTCAACTGATTCCAGAAAAGCAAGATCAGAAAACAAATCAAACCAGCTTGGACACAGTAAAAACTCAGGATGTTGCGATCCAGACAGGTCCATCGGATAGCAATTTGGGAAGGACTGCACAGAAAGAAATTATCGTTCCTCAAGGCTGTGAATCATCCACATTCAGAGAACTGGTCCCTCAGCACAATACCGATACAAACAACCCCCTTCTTCAAGTGATGCACGGAATACAAGAGGATGAAAGTATTTCAACAGGACAAAATCTCGAGAGACAAGAAGTTACCCATGAAAAAGTAATTCCCGTAAAAGATCAGAGTCACATTTGTGTAAATGGCAGTAATTTTGTTTCACTGGAAACAACTGCAAAAACTCCAGATGACTCTCTTGTAAAAGGCTACCCTCTTTATAGACAGGACACCAAACCTAAACCCAAGCCAGCTAATGAAATTACAAGAGATTACATACCAAAAATTGGAATGACTACTTATAAAATAGTGCCTCCCAAATCCTTAGAAATAATGAAGAGCTGGGAAGCAGAAATTCCATCAGATTATAAGGATCAAGAGGTATCTACTTTGGAAAACTCTCTGAAGCATGAGGACCCCAAAGAATTCATAGTGCAAGCTGAAATTCCTCATCTTCCAAAAAGTGTAGGTCATTTACAGATTGGTTCACAAAATGAACCAGCAGCAGCCAATGATCTGCTGCACAGAGTGAACAGCTCTTCTGAACATGTTGTGAAGTCTGGAGCTGAGATTACTACTGAGAGCAATTGGACGGAAACAGAGTCTTCCAAACAGCGTGTCCCTCTGATGCTGAGCTTGGATAACACAAATGCTTCTTTTGAGACTCAGGACAAGCCAAATGCATTAAGTCCTACAACAAAGCCTAGTTCTTTTTATCTGCAGATGCAACGAAGAGCTTCAGGTCATTATGTGACATCTGCAGTTGCCAGAAGTACCGTTTGTGCTCCTAATTCCATTCAAAATGAAGCTAAATATACAGAGATGGGAAAAAAAATCTCATCACCCGATTCAACTTCTTTATCTTTACATAAAACAAGTGCTTCCTGTCTTCCAGCAGATGACGAAAAAGTTGATGATGGAAAAAAAATTGAATCCTCCGCTTCTCCTGTTAAAAGCAATAAACCTTCAAGTTTCCCCTCCTGTCCCCCAGCACCACTAAACCTAAGAACTCTAAGAACTTTTGCAGTTCCAAAGCCGTACTCCAGTTCGAGACCATCCCCTTTTGCTCTTGCTGTCTCATCCGCAGTCAAAAGGTCGCAGTCATTCAGTAAGACGCGTACAATCGCTAGCCAGGCACCAAGAGAGGAATTTCCTGTTGAACTCTCCTCTGCCTCTTCAGCAGCTGAATTCTCCTCGGCTACTTCCGTGCCTCAAGTAAAAACCCCTTCCTTACAGACCGTAACAGGGGCGTCGCAAAATAGTCTAATGGATAAGGTAAACTTTATTTCTAATATTGGTTGACTAATCATCCACTGTCATCTAGCGTGATTAGTCTAGAGGCTAGTCTCTGAACTTCTCCCTGATCAGAAAGCACTGTGTTCATCCAGTGTAAACACCTTGTGGTGTCTAGCAGTAGCACAGCATCATAATGAAATACAGGAAATGTTAAAGTGAAAAAACCTCATTCGGATTATTGGAAATAATTACTTCTTGCCATAATTAGCATCCCCTACTTCAAATTCATAGAATCCTTGAATACCACATTGGAAGGCACCTCAACGATCATCTGGTCCAACCTTTCTTGGCAAAAGCATGGTCTAGACAAGATGGCCCAGCACCCTGTCCAGCTGAATCTTAAAAGTGTCCAATGTTGGGGAATTCACCACTTCCCTGGGGAGATTTTCACAATGAGATCAGCCATTGGAGTAAATTTTCCTCTTGTGTCTAATAGGAATCTCGCCAGCAGTAACGCGTACCCATTACCCGTCGTCTTTTCCATGTGACACCTTGTAAAAAGTGGGCCTTCCCCTTCTTTGTATCCACGCTTTAAATACTGGAACATGGTGATAAGGCCTCCCTTAAGCCTTCATTTTCTCACGGCTGAACAAACCCAATTCTCTCAGCCTTTCCCCATATGGCAGGCTTCCCAGTCCTTTGATCATTTTGGTGACCCTTCTCTGGACCCTCTCCAGCATGCCCACATCTTTTTTGTATAGTGGGGACCAAAACTGAACACAAATTTAATAGAATCGTTTATACTGTGTATACATATCTTTATATTTGGAGTACTTGTGATTTGTCCTTTATGGTTCTCTGTGTTGATTTCTTAAATTTAATTCTGAATGTGATTAGTTTGGCTTCAAGTGGTCATGGCACAAACGCACTTGAACAGGGCTGTAAAATTTTGCTGGCATAATTATTTGAGGGAGAAACTATGTGCTATAGTGGAAATGTGGCTGATCTTTGAAATATTGAATGAGGCAAACAGTAGAACAGTGGCAGTTTGATATGCAACCTTGTGCCAGGTTGACTTAGTTTTCCATTTATTACTAATTCATATTAAAAGGTTTTGTTTTGGTTTTCCTCCCGCCTCCTCCCTTTATAGACAGGCAGCAATGTGAATAGTGAGCAGAAGAGTCAGGCGCAGTCAGGTGCTTCCACTGACCACCCACCCCCTGTCACTAAGAAACAAACCACGATGACATTCCAGCATTCTGACCCAGAACAGATCCACCAGAGCTTGCTGGCTGCAATCCGCTCTGGAGAAGCTGCTGCCAAATTGAAAAGGGTGAGTTTTCATCATTGCATCCATAACAATGAACTCGTGGTACTTCCTTCAAAATCACTGTATTAATGCCTGACACTAAAAGCAATTAGCTTTGGCAGAAAGTGCTGCTGGGAGGTCTCTTCACAATGGGAGGGGAGGTGGGAAAGAGGTCAGTTTTGCAGAGTAAGCTGGTGAATGCACATGCAAAGCTTCATATGTCCATATTTTCAAGCAGTAAAAATCCAATCAGAAATCTTCCTGAAATGAATTAGACATCTCTACATTATCGATTAAGTATCTCTTTCATGAAATCAGGAACATATTAAATTATTTGTTTGTGTTTATATGGTTTGAAGTGGTGTGGTTTTAGACACATGCTAAGCAGCTTCACCCTAGACCTGAAGTAGCTGCAGTCTTTTGCAGGCAGGTAACACACAGAAGTTCTGAAGATGGTATTTTTTTATTTATTAGACTCTACCAGGTTCTTAATTCTTCATAAAGGTACTCCAAACTTCCTGCTGCTGTTTGGTATCATTAGTAAGATATTTCTGATTGTTTTGTCAACAGCCCTGGTAGGATCATTTTCACCCACCATTTCAGGTTAAAACCGTGGCTTAGTTTTTTTTCTTTTCTCTCCCCTAAAATTCACCTATACTTCTCTCATTGGGTAAATTTTCCAAACATGAAATTGTACATCTTATTCTTTCACTCTTACCCAGAGCACATATGCCAGTATGTCTGACAGCTGAAATAGAGTTCTTTTGGCCTATGGCAAATTTAATAAAAACATGGTCTCATTTTATGTTTAACTTGAAGAACTGGCAGTAATGGGACAAACAGAGAAAGGAAGCATTTCGTATTGATAACCTATTAGCACCCAGGAGTGATTTCCAGTATTGAAAGGACTTCACCTCATAGCTTCCACTATCGTGCTGCACTCAGTAAAAGGAGTAATAACCTGATCCATTTGGATTGTGAAAGAGGCCTGTGAGGTGCTTGCTTCTCTTTTTACCGCTTACCACTTACAATACTCTCCCTTCTTTCAGCTCTGTGAGGGAATAATTAAAAAAAATAAAATGCTGGCACCACTAGCCAAATTCTTTATTTTTTTTCCCTTGTTTTTACATACTGTTGCAAGTATGCAATGCTGAGATCTGTGGCCTTTTGTATTGCTGGTCTTTTCTGTTCAATGGGGCTCTCGGTAATTACGAACCTGAAATGGGTCAAGTGAGGTTTCTTTTTAACCATTTTTCTCTTCAGAATGTTTTAATTGTGTTTAGTAAACTGTGTGCTGTGGTTCGTGGTTCGCATGGCTGTGGAGCGTCCGCAGCTCCCATTAACTCCAGTTGGAGTTGTTGGTTTATGCAGCTCCCCTGAAAATCAGGTCTTTGCTATCTATCCTAGAAGTTATAGTTTGCTCCTGATAGAAGAAACATTACTATGGTATAAAGGAGCGTTAGAAGATTTTTTTTTTTTTTTTTAGAAGTCAGCCCTGTTCAATATTTAATAAAAAGTGTTTGGTTTAGCAATGTTTTTTCAAGTATTGCTTTGCAACCAGGTCTGGAGAGGGACTAAAAATTATGCATGTTTTGAATAGTTATACCTGGAAATTTTAGATAGGATAAAATATGTTTTTAAGTAATTTCTTACATTTGCACTTCTGTAGCATATGTGCTTTGTTCAGAAATCATATAGGAGGTCTTTCATTGCAATGAGAAAAATGCTAACAGTGTTTTTGTTTCCTTGAAGTAATACTGTGTAATGTACTACAGAGAGAAGAATTTGAAAAGTTAGGTTAATATTTCTTTTTTCTCTTTTTTTTTTTTCCTCCTTTCTTTTTCCCCTGCCTCCAGGTTGGTCCTCCATCAAACACCATATCTGTCAATGGAAGAGCCAGGCTCACTCATTTGTATTCCACAGAAACAAAAGCTAATCACTAGATATTATACCAAATATTTTGCACTTTACTACTGCTTAATACTAACTACAAATTTTTGAAAGTGTAAATGCAAATATATGTTAATATATTTTTTGTCAATTGCTATAGGAATTTCAAGCTGAGTCCTTTGATGCCTTGGAAAGATTATTATTAGAATATGTAAATTATGGTAATATTTTGCCTTTTTATAAAGCTGACTATGCTGCTAAAAGGTTTAAGAGAAGGTGCAGAAGAGCTTTGCTTATGGTAGAATGAGATTCAAAAATTCTTGATTTTAGCCTTCAAGACTGAACAATATGTAGCACTATGCTGAAATTAGATTTAAAACAATCTAAGAATTTTAGATCATTAATTTTCAATTGTGTATTACTTTAACAGATTTTATGAATTTAAATCTACCACATGCTGCCTCCATATTGCTGTTAAGTTAAATTTGTAATTAGTAAATAATCCTAATTATATGCAATACTTTGTTTCTCTTAAAAAAATGGATGGTTTTGTTCCTTCAGCTGAGAATAGCTGGGATAAGTATTTTGATTTTTTTTTTTTATTCTCCTTCAATTTTTTTCCTGGTAGCACACCTCCAAAAAAATGGGACATAAATTATTGGAAATTTTTGTACTACTTAAAAACTTTTCTTAACAGTAGCACTACATGATGTTTCTCATCTACTCTTTGACTACCTGTATATAGTATTTACCTAGCACTCAGATAAGCAATACTTTTTGTGAACTAGATATATTTTAAAGTAGTCGTCAGCATATAGTCACTTACTGATAAAATGCAAATTCCAGTTTTGATACTTAATGAAATAGAAGAAATTTTTTTTCACTGGAAGTACGACTAAAGAATGAACTGCTTTGGACTTATTCATGTAAAATATTTTAATCTTAGAACAGCATGATAACCCACTTACAAAGCATTCTTATGACTGAGAGCATCTATTTATAGATTAAGCATTAAATACCAAAATGGGAATATATATTAAAAGAAATGCTTCATGTTATATTTTATCTATTTTCCATTTCTTGTCAAGGTTATACATTTTGGGGAGAGGGGTGGAAATATGATCACACTTAGGATGAAATAGCTCAATTATGGATGCATGCAGCAAGTGCTGGGGTATTTGCCATATTAAAATATTTTCTTTATGAACTTGATTTAAATAAAAGTAATTGTATTTAGTTTCTATTCTTTAACAATATATTTATTTTGTACTTTAGAGACATTCTGTAACTCAGTTCCAGAAACTGATCTATATGTGCATTTCAAAGGGTTATTAATGGTTTGCTGCCAGGTTTTTGTGCAATAATCTCAAAGAGGTCTCATTACTTTTCTAGTACAGAGTCAACTATTGATTACAAATAACAGTGTTAACTTAATGCTGAAACCCTTCAAGGAACATTTTAGTAAATAAAAATTCATAAAGAAAGCTGATGAACATTTGTTCACTGCTGTTCTCTCATGTTTTCTCTCCAATATCTTAGTCCCCTGTCAATGTGTATTACTACTTCCTTCTCCACCTTGTTCTTGCTTCCAATCGAGGGCTAATTCCAAAGGCAGGGGGAATTCCATGGTGGTTCAAAAGAGCTGTTTCAGCATCTGGTTGCAAAACAGCGCTTCACTTTCACTTGAAAATGGTGAGATAGAAGAGGTAGGGGTGTTTTTCCTAGTTTCTAACTGGGGCTTAGATTCGAGATTTCACTGTGTCTTGAGGGATGGGCTTGAACATTGTAATTCTCCCAGCATTCTAGTGTGGGTGTTCATTGTGACATTTCAAGTCCATGTTTTAAGCATTCCTATACAAGATGCTGATCTGTAACTGCCACAGAGAGGTTGCACTGCCAAAGGAATCTTCCTGGTTGTACTTTGGGTGGAAGTTACATGTTTTGTCTCAAACCTTTGTATTCTCTGCCACGGCGACTAAAGTTATTTCATAGGACTAGTTCAATATCTCCAGCTGTGGTAATACAAGTGTACGTGACATTTCGCTATTTCAACCAAATCAGTGAAGTCCATTTATTCTGTTTTGGCGGAAAGATCAAATAACCTTGCTTTGTTGTTTTTTTTTTTTCCTTAGGTTTTGACTACAGAATTATACTACTGTATGTTCCTTAGTCCCATATGTTAAAAGTACATTGCCCTTTCATGCGAACACTTGAAGACAAATAGCTTATGTAACAGATTAAAACTAAACCTTGCTTGGATTTTAGGATTTCTTTTCTTAGTAACTGAACTTGCTTGATAATTAACTGAAATGTCTACACACAAGAGTACTGTGAAACACTTCAATGAGATTTTCTGTTACTAGCTGGCAATATTGTTAAGCAAAACTTCCTCTTTCCCCCTTCTTCTGACATACATGTTTAAGACATTTTTAAATCTGGCTATTGGACGTTTAGAGACTCATTTTTTTCTTATACTCTTCTATTAAATTTTACCAGAAGAACTCTTCTTGATGAACTTGGCGTGTTTATTCATTGTTCAAACAAGAAAATATTTGTGCTCGAGTAATGAGTAAGTGTTTCCAGCAACTGCAAAACCAAGTTAGAAGCAAACTTTTGATGTGGATGCCTTACGTGAGGGAAAATAGACTGTTTTTTGGCCTAAAAGTCCTTACAGTTTGGGTAACCTGTACTACAGATGTCTTCCAACAGAAGGCAACTCGTTATGTCATGCCACTGACAATCCCCTTGCTTCTTTTGAATGGCAGTCAAAACGTTTAGGGAAGGAAAGTCAGAATATTGCTGCTTAGAATCCCATTTTAATACGCAGTTGCAGAGAAGGTTGAAAGAATTGTGTTAAATAGAAATAAGGAAAAGATGCTGTTGAGCAGTAGGGTGTACATCCTTGAATGTAATGCTTGGTCAGAGTGCATCTATCAGGTGTTGGACAACTACAACAAGATTGAAGAGTTACTGTAAATGACTAAGTTGATGGGTTGGTAGCCAAGCAAACAGAGCTCTTTGGAGAAGGGAAAATATGTCTTAATTTAATTGTCTATTTCCATGTTAACAGAATGTGAGGCTGAAGTCAAAATAGTGTGTTTGGATCGGAGCTGCCATCTTCACAGACACGACAACTGTTTCTGGGTGCTGTGAGTGGTCTGAGGTTCTGAAGCAGCAATGTTCTCTTCAGCTTGGCTGCTGACTGATAGCTGAATCTGAAACATCAGTTGTTACAGACAGGTTTCTTATGAAGTCTGTTTTGATGATTATGCAATGTTGTAGCAATATCAATGGAAATGCTTCACAAATTTTAATTGAAAAGGATGCTTTCTATGTGGATTATTTTATACAATCCAATTGAAAATCACAGATAATGTGGAATTTTTTTATTATTTTTTTTTAATTTCTGATTGGGTAGCTTTGTGAGAGGGAAGGTGTCCTTGTTAAAATGACATGAAATTTGCAAGTAACGGGATGCTACAATTTTAAAAAATACTTCATTTTTTTGGTCTTCCTTGCAAGAACTATGTGACATTGTAACTAACACAGAAACTGTGTGTCAATCTATCGGAATGTATTGTACATAAAGTTGCATTATTTTTTGTCAGCTCTTCCTGCTCGTTCATACAAGCACCTAACACCTTAACATTTTTGGTGTGTATGTGTCTTCAAGGAGCAGATTTGGAAGAGATGTATAATTTCCTTTTTTTAGCTGTATAAAACCTCACAATCACATAACAGTACAACAGCTACTGTCTAAGTCAAGAGGGACAGATGAACACTTCCTTCCCCCCTCCCTCCATCACCCCGGAAGGATCACTAGAACTGTTAATGGACTTAGTTATTCCTAAATTATTCAAGACACTTAAAAGAATAAAATTAATGGGAGAGGGATTGAGGTAGAGAAAAAGAGGAGGAGTTCTGCTTTTCTTGATCTGGAGAACCACCACTTCTGTGAGGACAGACAGAAGGAGATTTCTGCTCCTCCCATGTTTAACACACAAAGGAATAACCTTCTACAGGCATATTATCACTTGAGGAATGACTTCACTTGCTTTCCAGTGGAAGATGTTGAATTAATTTGGTATTCTTCATCAGTGTCATGCAATAGGAAGTGCTGCTTCTCCCCCCACCTTCCATATTTTATGTTTGCTGTTTTGGCTTCAGGGTTCTACAAATATTATACCATTTTGGAATGTGTTGGTACAAGCCAGAAACTAAAAGCTTAACTCTGAAAGCCTGATATCTTGTGATCCCCATTCATGTAATCAGAACAATGATGAAAATGCAATCCTGTGCGGGACAGGCATTGTTCCGCATTTGCTAATATAGCAATGAAAGAAAATCTCTTAGTTTGAGAAAAGGAGAAACAACTGTATCTGAAAAGGACATTAAAACTAATAAGAAATTTTAACTACATCTATTGGTAGTCATTATTTCAGAGTGACTGTGCATGTATAACTTCGGGCCTGGAAATAACAAGGGCTTTGTCATCTCCAGCAGAAATAGATATAACTCCAGTGCCAAAAAGAATCCAAAAGAGTTGGATTTGGATATAAGTTGCTAATTCCTCTGTGAACTTCTCAAACTTTGAGAACGGTCTTGTGCCAATAACATACTACAGCCAATGTGATTATACACAAATGCCAGTGACATTAACTAGTTACCAGTATGTGATTGTATAATGAGTGTATTTTTAGTAGCTGTTTTGTTGATACCAGCTGCTGCATGTGAAGAACAACTGGCTTCTGTTTCAACAGATGATCTGCTTCTTGGCGATTTCTAAAGCATTAGTTTCCATGAGAGCATGGGCATTCCCAAACAATGCTTAAAATGGGAGTTTAGGGGTAGGGTGGGAAGCTAATTCTTAGGTTCCTCCTTAGTCATTTGAATACTCTGCAGAGCAACTGGTAAGATAGATGAAGAAGTTGAAGAAAACTTATTCAATCAGAGTGGAAGACTAAGCATTTCTGAAGAACGTGCTCTAGTCTTGTCTTGTATGAAATGTAAGGCAGCGTTGTTTTGTTATTAATAGTGACCCAACTCTGTCTCAGTAAAAAGTGGGCATCAAGAG